GCTGCCAGTGCCTGAGAATATTCATTGTACTGATTCTAACAGCTTGTTCTGTTTTTGTTGTTGTTGTTATTGTTGTTTTGTTTTTTTGTTTTCTATTATCTGCTTTCTCAAGAGTTCTTGTGAGTTTGGAGGTCTTTTTTCTTGGTGCTGGTTTTCTCTCATGTGTGGTGACCTCTAGTTCTGCACATCCTATCTGATGGTGACTGGGAGGGGTTCTGTAAGTGGCTGATCTAGGCCTGCAGGGTCCCTGCCTCCCAGGTATGACCGGCCTAGGGCACTGTCCTGATACCTCCTGCGAGAGTCTCCCGGGGGAAATGCTGGGCTTCCGGGTGTGTGGCAGCAGTGGGTGAGAAGCGTGGATGCTCCTGGGACACACCCATCAGCTTCCCTGAGGCCTGCCCCTGCCCTCACCCACTTGGAGACCGGAGCACCCCACCCCAGGGCCTCTCCCAGAATAATCCTTTTGGGTGTATTTTGGGCTTTGATCTCTTTCTTCCATGCATCCCATCTACCTTCCGTATTGCAGGAAGCCTTCATTTTCGGTGGACCAAGGATGCCCTGAATTGCTTTCGAGGGATGTTTGCATTTGTTAATTACTTATACCGGTGATATTTTTCTTCTTGAGATACAATTCACCATATAATTTCCTTAAATTAATTAATTTCTTGAAATAAGCCTCAACGTGGGGCTCAAACTCGTGACCCTGAGATCAAGAGTCACATGTTCTACAAACTCAGCCAGCCAGGTGCCCCTAAAAGTCACCATTAAAAAATTTTTGTTTAATGTTTATTTTTGAGAGAGAGAGACAAAGTGTGAGTGGGAGAGGAACAGAGAGAGAGGGAGATACAGAATTTGAAGCAGGCCCCAAGCTCTGAGCTCTCAGCCCAGAGCCCGACATGGGGCTCAATTCCACGAACCTTATGACCTGAGCTAAGTCTGACGTTTAACCGACTGAGCCAATCAGGTGCCCCTAAAAGTCACTTTATTTTATTTTATTTTATTTTTATACTTTTAATGTTTATTTTTAGTTTTGAGAGACAGAGAGAGACTGAGTGTGAGAAGGGGAGGGGCAGAGAGAGGGGGAGACACAGAAAGGGAAGCAGGCTCCCGGCCCTGAGCTGTTAGCACAGAGTCCAACGCGGGGCTTGAACCAACGAACTGTGAGATCATGACCTTAGCTGAAGTCAGTTTCTCAACCAACTGAGCCACCCAGGTGCCCCCTTTTTAAAAAAATTTTTAATGTTTATTTTTAGTTTTGAGAGAGAGAGAGACCAAGTGTGAGCAGGGGAGTAAAAGTCACCATTTTAAAGTGTGCTGTACTGGTTTCTTTTTGTTTCTTTGTTCTGTTTTGGTTTTATGTTCACAACGTGCCACCACCACTATTTGATTTCAGAACATTTCCACCTCCCCAGGAAGAAACCCCTTCCCTCCCAGTTCTCCCCTTCTTCTACATCCTCACAGTCACTCATCTACACTGCATCTGTATGGATTTGCCTACCTTGGGCATTTCAGCTAAATGGAATCATGCAATATGTGGCTTTTCACGACCGGGTTCTTTCACTTTGCAGTGTTTCATCCATGTTGTAGTACCGGTCATTCCTTTCCATAGCTGAATACTATTTCCTTGTATGGATGTACCACTTTCTGCTTATCCAATCATTGGTTCATGGACATTTGGGTTATATCTACTTTTTGGCTGTTAGAAACCCTCCTGCTATGAACATTAGGTTTAGGGCTCTCCTCCCTAATCCATGGCAACCACTGATCTGTTTACTGTCTTTATAGTTTGGTCTTTGCCAGAATGTCACAGAGTTGGAATGATGCAGCATGTAGCCAATTCAGACGAACTTCTTTCACTTAGCAATATGCATTTAAGAATCCTCCATATTTTTTCCCCCATTTCATTTTAATGGAGTCACGAATGTCTTTTTAATACGATTGTAATGACGTCTAGAGATGTGGGCAGGGATTGGAGGCTGCCTCATAGCCCCGCCTACCGTCTTGCTCATTGCAGGAACCCTCTGGAAAGAAGGGCCGAGCTTGCGGGCTCCCTGCCCGAGGGGAGGCCAGAACGATGTCTTGTCTCCCCTGCCAGGCTGTCCCGGAGGGGTCTCTGGATCCCTTCCCCGGTCCTCCCTCTGTCTCCCATGCCCCTTCTCTGTGTCCCTTAGACGATCTTGTGGAGAAGATGCCATGCTCAGGGAACTCCTCCCGCGTCTGTGAGTGCCGCACTGGCATGTTCTGTGCACTACCAGTCACCAACACCTGTGCCCGCTGCATCCCCCACACCGTGTGCCCTCAAGGGTTGATTGTCAAGGTCCAGGGTAAGTATCCCCACCGTCAGCCCTGCACCAAGACCTGTGCCAAGCTGTACCCCTCCCCCACCTCTGCCCCAGATCTCCAAATGGCCTCTGATCTCCTTCCTCCTTCTTGTTGGACAGACCCTGTCTTCTTTGAGATGCTGTAGGAGCACCAGTTAGGCTCAGAGAGACTGATGGCCTGAGACACGGGCCTGGCTGGGGGAGTGCTGGCTTAGTGGGCACTCAGGGCACAAGTTCTCTGATGCCTGAAAAACAACAGCAAACCTCAAGTCTTCTGTCCTGGGATTTTCCCAGAGTATTTGGGCTGTTTTTCCCAATTCACAGTTGAGGCATTGGGAGTTAGAGGAGCTGAGACACTTGGATTTCTTTTCCAACCTGTTGTGTGAGTTCAGGCAAATTCCTTACCTTCTCTGAGCTTCTGATTTGGTGACAGGACAAGGAGCCTCAGGCCAGAAAGGAGGTAAGAGCCGCAGATCGGGTGTAGGTGGTGCTGAGAGCCTCTCGGGGAGGTGAGGAGAGTGTGGGCTTTGGAGCAGGGCCCGTAGCAGGGCCAGCGCCGCACCCGTTCGGAGGCTGCAGGCCGGAATCCGAGGGAGCCGTGCCCACTGGGGGGGGAAGTGCTCTCGGCGTTCCCATTCCTCACCTGATGCTTTTCCAAAGCCCCAGCCTTACCACCTCTCCGGCCACAGCCCAGTCTTTCCTCACCCCCCACAGACAGCCCGTCCCTCAGATTTTGTCCCCAGCTGTCTCCCTTTCCCACCCCCATTTCCTCCTGTCATTGCTTGCCCATCTAACCTCTCTCTGTGTAACCACATCTGCCTCTCTCTGTCTGTCTCTGTCACCCCACACACGTGCCGTAAAAACCATTCAGCGTTTTCTCATTCCTGCAACCATAACGACACGATCCTTTGGCAGAAGAGAGCCGGTGTTTGAGGGACTTCTCTCTTTAATTCTGTGCCCGTTGGCATTTCTGGACTCCTGGTTTATCAGGCTCCATGTCTGGGATCTGTGATCAAAGAGAAACCGCAGGGGACTCACCACTGTTGAGTCTTCTTTGTCTTATACATATGCCCAGGGTGTTTAGCTGTCCGTAGTGGGAGGAGCAGGCAAAAGATGCCCAGCCCATCTTCCCACAGGCAGTCTCGAAGACGACCTGTGTCCAGTCACCCTCCCTCCCCCAGGTCAGACTCAGGCCAGCTGCCGTACTTTCTGGGTTCCTCTGCCCTGCTCGCTTTCGGCTCCGTGGTCATTCAATGCTTCTCACTCTTACCAGCCCTTTGTGCCTGCTGTCCCTCAGGACATTCTTTCCTCCTGTTCGCTCAGTCACCTCCGGCTCTGCCTGGCCTCTCTGTCCACTGCCCACTTCCTCAAGAGGCCTCAACAACTTGTCCCGGGACACATGTCCACTGTGATCTCTCATCACACAGGGTCCTCTTCCAACAGGGATACGAACACTGGTGTCTGTCTTGGTTTGATGAACGCTGGCCTCCCTCCCTGAGCCGTAGATTCATGAGGGCCAAGGTCATCTCCCCACTGCCTGATCACAGGCCAGGCACAGAATGTGCTCTGCAGAGATATTTGCTGAAGGATGTGGGGGCTCCTGACAGATCAGTGCTGGCAGTGGTGGGGCTCAACTCTGGTCCAGTCCTCCCTGGGTCACACAGAACGCTGTCCTGAGGGGCCTGCGGAAGCCGCCACCTGCAAACAGGGCCAGGTGGGGGGAGTGGAAAATGCTCTGGGCTGGGCATCAGATACCTGGGGTATTGCTTGCTACTGCCGAGGGGCATGTTCCCAGCCCATCCTGGGCTTCAGCGTCCCGTCTGTGAATGTAAAGTTGCCACTAGACGGCCTTGGGGGGACCTTCCAGCCCTGAAACTCTTGCATCTCTGCTAACAGTAGCCTAGAATCTGTTGTTGCAGCTCCTCCAGCAGCGCCTGTGGACCCACTGCGGCCAGCGAGGCCCTTTCGGTGCTGTTCCCGCGCCTGCCGCATGGTGGCGCCCGAGGCCTCTCTTTGCTGCCCCTACGCCCGTGCTGCCCCTAGCGGTGCCACTGGCCACATGCTTCCGTGGAGGGCTTGCGATGTGGCCATGCAGGCCATGCCCTTGACCTCAAACACTTAGCATACAAAATGTAAATATGTCAATAATTATTTTTATATTGATTATCTACCTCTGCATTTTAGATATATTGGTTCACATATATTAAATTAATTTCACATTTTCCTTTTTCTTTTTCTTTTTCCTTTTGAAAATGGGGTTACTTGGAAATTTAAAATGACAGTGTGAGTCACGTCATATTTTTATGGGACATCGCTGCTGGTGGACTTCTGGCCTCCACCGTGGACGCACCCACAGGGCAGCTGTCCAGCTATTAGAGGACAGTAGTTTCTGCTCTAGCGTCAGCCCGTAGCTAAGCCGCAGGCGCCAGCTTGCACGGGTGTTCCCTCCTGAATTTCTCAAAACTCCATCAAGCAGACTGAAGTAGCCCCATTTTGGCACTGGGGAAACTGAGGTCCAGAGATGGCAGGTAAATTGCTCAAGACCACAGAGCAGGGAATGTCTGAGCCAGAGTTGGAATGTCGCACCCCGGCCTTGTCAGCCCAGCGCACTCAGAAATACATCAGCATTGTTCATGCTTCTCCACTGAAGCCTTCAGATCGTCATCCCACACGGGGCACTTGCTCTAAGCAACGGGACAGGGATCCCAAGGGGAAGAGGACGTGCTGCTCATCGGGCAGTCGCTCTGCGTCACACAGTGTGAGGGCACAGCGAGGCTATGACAGAGGTGGCGGCAAACTCAGCTCCGGGTGTTGGCAAGTGCTGAGTGTTCTCCTCTTCACTGTGTTTGCAGGCAGGAGTCTTCAGGAGTCTTTGGGTGGCAAGTAACAAAAGCTCAAAGTCTTTGGCTCCTGAGACTGCACAGTCTGGGGCTGGCTCTGGGTAGTGTCGGGCATGGCTGGATCCAGGAGCTCTGTCTTTACCGATTTCTCAGCTCTCCTCCCCCAGATCCAGACTTGCTTCCTGCCCAAGCCCAGTACAAAGATGGCTTCTCCTTCCTATGTTTTCAACAACCAAAATAAAAAACGCGCTATTGTACCTCTTGGGCTTGGCTTGGGTCACATGCCCATCACTGAACTAGTTCCTCATGGTCTGTTTGGACTAAAGGGATTGATTGGTCTGAACACGTCTGGGTTTACTCCTGGAAGGGTGGGATGTTGAGTCAGCCTCAGCCCCGCACACGGATACTGAGACCGGGGAGAGTATTCCCGGGGGAATGGGGAGGCTTTAGCCCACGGGGAAAGGATGCTGGGCAGGACGAACACCAGGTGGCTGTTCCGTTCCCTATCTGCTCCTTCTGAACTGTGGGTTGTGGTGATAAAGGATCTATTCCTTGAGCCTTGCAGCTGCTCAGTAGCACATCTGTCCACCTTGCCTTGCTGTTCCCTGCAGGCACAGCACAGAGGGATACTCTGTGTGGGCAGCCTTCCCCGGTGAGCAGCCCCGAGCGCTGCACCAGCCCAGAAGACTGCCAGGCGCCGACCAGGTGACTCGCGGCCCTCTCCCTTCCCGCTGAATTTAGCGTGGGGCTGTGCCAGCCCCCAGGATGCCCAGAGCACAGCCGGGCTGTGGTGTGGGTGGGGTTCCACCTGGGGTGTCAGGACGCCAGGATGCCTCTCTGTCAACCCCACTGTCGCTTGAGCCCCTCCGTGTGCCCAGTGTTGCCTGAGTGCACGAGAGAAGGTCTAGACAGCACAGCGCTGGCTCCCGGGAGCTGTCGGTGGGGCTGCCAGAGCCTGTGGGCAGAGGCTCTGAGGCCCCCTTTCCTGTGGAGGCAGTTACCCCTGAGCACAGACCTCCCTGCCCCATCCAGGGGGCTGGCAGTGCCATTTCCGGCTTCTCTCTCAGCAGCGCCGGTGCCCAGGCCAGGCCCCTGGTGACCTTCTCGGCGAGCTCCAGTGCCAGGACTACGCCTCTTGGAGGGGGCACTGCCCTCACCCCCGAAGATGATCCCGAAGTGACGGGGGCCCCCAGGTCTTCATCCTCTGTGAGGAAGCTCAGTCCAGATCCAGGTAATTTCTCGAGAAGCTGTGGGTTGTTTCCCAGGCCGCAGTGTCTCACTGGCAGGCGGCCTGTGTGTGGTATGGGCCGCGGGTGGTCCAGGGTGGGGTCTCTGCTGGTCTGGGGGGAAGGGGGTCTCTAGGTCTCTTTAGGCTGCAGGCCTTGAGGGCCAGAGGGGATAGAGGAAGAAGTCATTCATTTGACACCTTAGTGCCCCCAATGGGCCAGACACTGAGGGGCTGGCAAGGGAGCAGGTGTGGATATGATGCCCTCTGATTCCTGGGTGACGGCCTGGGGTCCTCAGTTCCCTCCTGCTTGTTACTGACCTGCCTTCCGTTGTATGGGTGCACACAGTATGTGTATCCGATAGTGTTTGGATATTCGGGTCGTTTCCACTCTTTGGCTACAAGTGACAGTGATAAATAAGTTTTTATTTTCATGTCTCTGTGCCTGTGTTTTTTAATTGACTTTTTAAAGTTTACTAATTTATTTTGATAGAGCACGCGAGAGGGGCATAGAGAGTGGGAGACAGAGAATCCCAAGCAGGCTCTGTGCTGTCAGTGTTGAGCCCGACGTGGGCTCCATCCCAGGAAGCATGAGATCACAACCTGAGCCAAAACCAATAGTTCGATGCTGAACCAACTGAGCCTCCCAGGTGCCCCACTGAAGAGATGTTCTTATATTTCATGTCGTCACATGGATCCATCTTTTCTTCTTACATCCTGCCTTATGTTCGCTGAAGCCTCGGAGACTTCCTGCCTTACTTTCTAGGATCTTTACTGTTTAGCCTTTCACAGTTAGCTCTGCTGTCTGCCTACCTTTTGTGTGTGGCGGAGGCAGCGGTCATGTTGAAAGAGGCCACGTGGATATGCAGTTGACCCAACACCTTTTATCAAACCAGTTGTCCTTTCCCCACTGATTTGCATGCCCTCTTTGGGGGTAAATCTAAGGTCTGTAGGTGCCTGGCTAAGATCTGGACTTTATATTCCTTTCCATCGGTCTTTTCGTCTGGCCTGGGTGGATGCCATACTGTCTCGATTACGAGCGTTTTTCCATACAGTTGAGCAACTTCTCCACCTCTGTTCTTCAGCACTGTCCTGCCTCTTCTTGGTAATTAGCATCTCTACATCAGCTTTAGAATCATCCTTTCAAATTCCACAAAATGTCCCATTGGGATTTTGACTGGGATTGTCCTGAGTCTGTAGATCAGGTTAGAGACAATCCGTATTTTTATAGCACCGAGTACACGGGAAAACCATATGTTTGTTCAGGTCTTCTTTATCTTTATGTATTTAATTTTACTTAGGTCTGCTTGAACTTCTCTCTCCCAATAATGTTTTATTATTTTCCACTTAGAACGATTTACATCTTTGTTTTAGATTTCTGGGTATTTGATGTTTCTGATGATGATGACAATGATATTTTATTTTTCAGTATTTCATGTTCTGAGTGTTCACTTTTAGTATTGTTTTGAGCCATGTCAATAGCCAATATTTGGCAGACTAACCTATCAAAATAGCAATCTCATGTGGTTCAACCCAAATGCATAGACACTTTCGATGTAATAACATATCCAGTTCCCTGGCTAAGCTCACTTGGGAGTCCTAATAACATATCTGCTGATTCTTTTGGGTAATCTGTGCACCTAATGATGTCATCTGTCTCTGACAGCCTGGTGTCTTCCTCTCCCGACCTCACATCTTTTCTCTCTTCTCCTCGCCTTCCTGCATCGCGTGGGACCCCAGGGCCACACTGAGCAGAAGCTGTGGTAGTCGGCATCCTTGCCTCATGGCTGATCTCAGAGGGAAGTGGCCCCAGGGTTTCGAGGAGGGTGGTGACACAGCAGTGGGGCTGGGGAGAGGGCTCAGGCATAGTGGCAATGACGGATCGCAGAGGGCAGGGCCTGGAAGCAGGGGGGCAGTTCGGAGGCAGTTAGTGCTCTTCTCCTGTGTGGCTTTAGATACATTCCTTCCCTCTCTGGGCTTCAGGACTCCTTCTGAAGACTGATGTGACACATGTGGAGTCTGGGAGCTGGCCATGGAGCTGGTGGTGGTGGCTGGGTGAAGAGGTAGGGCCTTTGCCAAGGTGGCCTGGCCTGGAACTTCTCTGCTTCTTTCCCCAGGGCTGATCCCACACCGGCCTTGTCCCCCAGGGTCACCTGACTGCAGGAAGCAGTGTGAGCCTGACTACTACCTGGACAGGGACAGCCGCTGCACGGCCTGTGTGAGCTGTTCTGGAGGTAAGGGCCGCCGTATTCTCCCCTCCAGGGGCAGCTTCTCAGGAGGAGCCCCTGTAGTGGGTGGCAGAGAAGGTGGGGAGAATCAAGATTCGGTGCCTGGACTCCAGGTTGGCTCCCTGGTGCCTCAGTTTACCCCTCTGGATTTGTGAGTTGAGATCAGCCACGGTGTTTTGCCTCTGTTCAGAGACACTTAGTTAACCTGTTTCTTTGAGGGAGGGACTCACATATTAAAATTTTTTTTTTTAAGGTTTTTATTTATTTCTAGAGAGAGAGAGAGACAGCATGAGCAGGGGAGGGTCAGAGAGAGAGGGAATCACAGACTGAAACAGGCTCCAGGCTCCGAGCTGGCAGTCAGCACAGAGCCCGATGCGGGGCTCGAACCCACGAACCGCGAGATCATGACCTAAGCGAAAGTCGGACGCTTAACCAACTAAGCCACCCAGGCGCCCCATGACTCACATATTGAGTTCAATCTTCACAAGACTCCTAGGAGAAGCTTTGTTTTTCTGTTTTCAAGTAATCTCTCTGCCAAACGTGGAACTTGAACTTCTGATCCTGAGATCAAGAGTCGCAAGCTCTACAGATGGAGCCAGCCAGGCACCAGGAAGTTTCTTTTCTCATCCCTGCTTTACAGTGAGGCAACCCAGGCTTAGGGAGGTTAGGGCCCTGTGCAGGGTTACAGAAGTCTGAGAAGGGATAGATCTGGAGTATGAGCTGTGGCCTGACACCAGGAGCTGGGCTCTCTGCCTACGGCCACAGGTGCTTTCAGGAGATCCTTCAACTGAACCTTCTGTTGTTACTTTCTTAGCCGGGTGTGTGAATGTGGTTTGTGTGCTCTCTGGTGTTCGTTTTGTTCTGTGTGGGTGTTTTGTGAGGTGAGATTGGGAAATTTGTTGAGATTTCTTGTGCCCCAATAGATGTACATATTTTTAAGTGTGTTTGGAGGAAAATGTAGTTCTGTTTGTTGTGTACAAAATTCTCTACATACCTATTAGATCAAGCTTGTTAATTGTGTTTTTTAAGTAATATGCTGTCTTTTCAAAAACATTTTTGTAAGTTTATTTTTTTCAGTAATCTCTACACCCAATGTGGAGTTTGAACTTATGACCCCTGAGATCAAGAATCCCATGCTCTTCCAGCCAAGGCAGCCAGGCATATCTTGAAATAATATGCAGTTTGTTTTGCATTCTTATTTATTTTTGTCACCTTCCCAAAGGTTGTTGTCTGAGATAGATGTGTTAAAATCCATCTCCCCTATGCTTGTGTTTCATCAGATTTTCATTGGGTTCTGTTTATTCTTTATCTCAAAGCTATGTTATTAGGTACAGCGTTCATGAATACTGCGTTTTCTTGGTGGGTTGGACCTTTTATCAGTTGAAATATACCTCTTTGCTCCTTATAATGTATTTGCCTTAATTCCATTTTTGTTTAATATTAATATTGCCATTCATCTTTGTCTACAGCATTTCTCTGTTGTATCTGTAAGTTTTTAAAATTGATGATGTGTTGTATGAAATGAAAGTCATAGGCATTCATTACAAAAATTTTAGCAATACAGAAGTGTAAGGAACAAGGCCAACTCTGCCTGTTCCCCATCGTTGGATGTCTGATACTTCTCTATATATAGGGAGAAGAGGAGTGGGAAGATTTGTAGCCAGACTATACATACATAGAGAATAGGGATTAAAAATTTTTTTAAAAACATCTTTATTTATTTTTGAGAGATAGAGACAGCACGAGCGGGAGAGGGGCAGAGAGAGAGGGAGACACGGAATCCAAAGCAGGCTCCAGGCTTTTAGCTGTCAGCACAGAGCCTGACTTGGTGCTCAAACCCACAAACCATGAGATCATGACCTGAATCAAAGTTGGCTGCCCAACTGACTGAGCCACTCAGCCACCCTGAGACTTGGGATTTTTAAGAGGTTGGGATCATACTGTTTATGATGTTCAAGTGATTGATTACATTTACTTTTATTCAGGTGTATCAGAGGAAGAAGAAAGTAAAACAAAATGACCACAAGAGATAGCACTTCCTAAAAAAACCAAAAACCAAAAAACAAAACCCTCTGGGGTCCTTAGGTGGCTCAGTTGGTTAAGCATCTGACTTGATTTCGGCTCAGGTCATGATCTTTCAGTGTATGAGATTGAGGCCTGGTCAGTCTCTATGCTGACAGCACAGAGCCTGCTTGGGATTCTTTCTCTTCCTCTCTCTCCACCCATCCCCTGCTTATGTTCTCTCTCTCCAAATAAAAAAACATTTAAAAAATCCCTCTAGAATTAAGAAGAGGTGTTAAAATCAAGAAGCAGTTAGGAATCATTTAATGAATAACTATGTCTTATGGTAAAGTCATGTTCTGTTTGTTTCAGATTTTGGATGGGTTAGAGTAGATCGGCTTCCTGTAATGAAAAATAAAGTAATTAGCTTGCCACCTCCCTGTCCTCTTCCTGACTTTTATTAGTTACATATTTTTTTTTACTTTGTTATTGCCTATGGCATTTATATTCTTTTCTGTAACCCTCAGTCCCTCAGCATGTTAATTTTAGTTTGCTATTTAAACTTACTCACTGTGCACTATAAGCACACTGACCACAGCTGCTCCATTCCTGACTTTTTCACTTTGATTTATTGCTTGGTTGGTTAGATTTCACTGACCTGGGGATTTATCAGGAAGGACTCATCTTTACACACCTCCCAGAGGATTCTTTAATGTTTGAGAACGTTTCTTGCCTTTATACTCAAATGACGACCTGGGCAGGTATATGATTATTCCTGGGACCACTGGTCTCCAGAACTTTGTAGACCTTGGTGCATTGTGTTCTCGTGGTGAATATTCCTGAGGAGGGATCTGCTATCTGCCTTCTTTTCTCTCCTTTGTGGGTGACTGCATGAACAAGAACAATTCTTTTTTTTAATCCTTAATCATCAAAAATCTAACCAGAATATGCCCTGATATTAATTGTTTTGAAATAATTCTTCCCAGTACCTGGAACGCCTTTTTTTAAAAAAATGTTTTTACTTATTTAAGTAATCTCTACACCCAGCCTGCAGCACCTGTGGCCTCAAGATCAGGAGTCGCATGCTCCACTGACAGAGCCAGCCAGGTGCCCCTGGAATGACTTGTCTGTCTGCACACTTACTTCTTCCTTCATTTCAGGGAAACTGACCTGGATTTTAATTTCTTTTTTTTTTTAATGTTTATTTATTTATTTTAATAGCATACGAGTGGGGGAGGGACACAGAGTGAGGGAGAGGAGAATCCCAAACAGGCCCTATGCCCAGTGCGGAGCCCATTGCGGAGCTTGAAGTCACAAACTGTGAGTTCATGACCTGAGCCAAAATCAGGAGTGGGACTCTCAACCGACTGAGGCCCCCAGGCCCCCTGGCTTTTTATTTCTGCTAAATACGTATCTCAGTATCAACTTTATGGACTGTAATTACCCTTCTGTTTGCTTGTGTTTGCCTTTCCTCCTGCTTTATTTAACTGCATTAGTATCTTTGTCTCTTCACCTTGCGTCCACAGGTACTTCCTCAGTCCTTTCTCTGCCATGAATTCTGTTTTCTTTGTCATGTCTTCTGCTGCTTGCCTCCCAGCTGTCGCCAGGGCTGCCAGGACACTGCTAATTTATTTATTGGGTATCTATGCAGTGCATCTCAGTTTGCTTTCTTTAGCTCTTTAGTCTTCCTTCTCAGCCCATTCTTTTTGAAGACCATCTTTTCCTTTGCTAAACTTACATTCTCATTAAGTTCTTTACAGTATGCTTGGGATGGCTTCTGTTTGTTTTAGACCGGGTTCTTTGTCTTTCCAAAATGTATTTCTATCTTTTTTAGATCCATCTCTTTCTTTTTCTCCCTTCCCTGGCCTGGTACAGTATGACGTCTCCTTACACCCCCACCTCATGGGGCTGTACTTAGTCTTTTCTGCTCAGAGTTTCAGCTGGGGAACGAGTGTAACTTTAAAAAAATACTGTAGGAAAATATACATAACATAAAATCTAGTGTTATTTTAAAAAATACTGTAGTAAAGTATACATGTATAAAATTTATCATTGTAAGCATTTTTAAGTGTCCTGTTTAGCACCATTAAGTGCATTCACATTTTTGGGCAACAATCACCAATGTCTAGCTCCGGAACTTGTTCTTTGCCCCAACTGAAACTCGGTCCCCATTAAACACTAGTTCCCTAATCCCCTCTTCCCCCTAGACTTTAGCAGCTGCCAATCTACTCTTTGTCTCTGTGACTTTGACTACTCTAGAAAGTTCATATAAGTAGAATCATAAAATATTTATCCTTTGAGACTGCCTTATTTCACTTAGCATAATGTCTCCAAGGCACTGTAGCCAGTGTCAGAATTTCCTTCCTTTTCAAGGCTGAATAGTATTCCGTTGGTGGGATCTACCACGTTTTGCTTCTCCATTCATGTTGGTGGACACTGGGGTGCTTCTGCTGTCAGCTGTTGTGAATACTGCTGCTGTCTGCGTGAGTCTACACATACCTGTTTGAGTCTCTGCTTTCAGTTCTTTTGGGAATAGACTTAAGTGGAATGGCTGGATCATGTGGTAATCCTGTTAAATTTTTGAGGAATCCTGAGTGTTATTTTTGAAACTGAGTTCAGGAGTCTGAGGACTGGGTGGGAGGCCGTGTGCATCCAGAGACGAGTGTCGTCGTCCTTGCCGGAGCAGAGATCTGCCTTCCCTTCTGCGAGATAGTTATTAGCAGAGCCCCTGCAGCTGCAGAGAGGTGTACCTGACTCCTGGGGCCTCTGCTGATGTCCACCCGAAAGTTAGCCAGTCCGGCACCTTCCCACCTTTGCTCAGGTCTGAGATAACTATGTTTGGGCTACTATTCTTGGAGGGGATGGGGTATTTTTTTTTTAAGTAGGCTTTATGTCCAGTGCAGAACCCATTGTGGTGCTTGACTCATGACCCTGAGATCAGGACCTGAACTGAGATCAAGAATCTGATGCTTCATCAACTGAGCTATCTATCCAGGGGCCCCTCA